TGCTGGCGCTAAGTGGGAGTGCCTCGCCATTAGTTTAGCTGTCACTTGAGCGCTGTCGAATGTCTTCAGTGGCTGTGTCGTTGAGGTCCGCACTAGCATGTGGTCATCCTCCGCGCGCACCTCAACACTAGTCGCGGGAGAGCCGAGTACGATGCAAGTCCACGCGCTCTAATAGGCCTGAGAGAAAACCGCTAAGGAAGCGCTCGTGGACATTTTATATCAGATCGGCGCGGTTCCAAGGCGTCAGAACGCTCTAGCAGAGGACAGATAGAGCGCATTTACCCAAAGGACTCGAAGGTTTCGAATACGCGTTTTCCTCCGCAGATAAAAGGCACTTCGCTTTCTTCTGAAAAAAGGTGAGATTTGTTTATGTTTGCATGGTAAATTCTTGTTTATTTAACTGTTCAGAGGAGGAGGGGGGGGGGGAAGCCTAATCGCGAGGAGCTGCGATAATAACCAAACACTGTCTGTATCTTTATCCACAATTTGCCCAAAAGCATAGCCTACTGCTTTGTATTAAACATTATAAATAAGCTACATTGCGTATTAAAACACGGGCTATACATATCTGCAATCTATTTAAATATAGCCTCTTTACAATGTCTATAGATATAGCTATAATCAATTGTACTTGACGCGCATTTTAAGTTTTACTTCAATAGAAAAATTAGTTGTAATCTTAATTATAGTTCATTTGGTTTATCAACAGATCAAAGATGTAAAACACATCTTTAGTAATTACAATTAAAGCGGCTTAAAGCTTCTTACACCTTTGTTAAGCTCTTTGGCAAGGCTCAAGGAATAATTTCCTCTATAATCTCTAGTGTTGACACAACACTTGTTTGCTTTTTCTAAACTGTCTTTTGTTCAACACAAAAAGTAAACTTGTATTGTAACCAAACGGTAAATAAATTCAAATGAATTTCGCAGAAGTTAATAGCCTACCACTACGGCCATCTCGGTAGCCTATAACCTATTTACAAAGATCTTTAGACGGATTAAAAAAAAATAGATTAATGTAACAATGGTGGCCATCGAGGCATAAGATATGATTTTCTGCTTCTTCTTCTTCTCATTAGGCTATTATGATTATTGTTACATTTGATCTTTTTACAATTCTGTAAAATAAGACAACAATAGCCTAGTCGTTTTTTGTTTCAGTCTGTAAATCAGTAGGCTATACACAATAATGTACTTAAAAATATTCCTTCTATCCACCATCGCAGATTTCCAGGAATGGAATCCATCCCAAATCAGCTGCCGGCTGGAAGAGACTCCAGCTGTTCGCCGAACTCTAAACAAGACTTGCAGTCTTACTCTGGCCCAACGCTCAAGCCGAACCAAGTCAGTGAGACCTCTTTATATGGAATACCGATCGTTTCACTAGTCATAGACGGTCAAGAGAGACTTTGCCTAGCTCAAATATCCAACACTCTCCTGAAGAACTACAGCTATAACGAAATCCACAACCGGCGCGTGGCCCTGGGCATCACTTGTGTGCAGTGCACTCCGGTCCAGCTGGAGATTCTCAGGCGCGCGGGGGCTATGCCTATTTCCTCGAGACGCTGCGGGATGATTACAAAGCGAGAGGCCGAGAGGCTCTGCAAGTCGTTTCTGGGCGCCCACAGCCCGCCGAAATTGCCAGAAAATTTCGCTTTTGACGTGTCGCACGAATGCGCGTGGGGCAGCCGGGGCAATTTCATCCCGGCCAGATACAACAGCTCGAGAGCGAAGTGCATTAAGTGTTCGTTCTGCAACATGTATTTCTCTCCAAACAAGTTCATCTTTCACTCTCATCGCACGCCGGAGTCCAAATACACGCAACCCGACGCAGCAAACTTCAATTCGTGGAGAAGACACTTAAAACTAACCGATAAAAACTCGCCGGACGACGTGTCCCATGCCTGGGAAGACGTCAAAGCCATGTTTAACGGTGGCAGCCGCAAGAGGACGCTGCCAATCGGTGGGTCTGATCGTTCGTCCTCGCTTAGTACGCAAGTACCGAGAGGTCAGACCCAGAGGGAACCGTCTGAGGTGCCCCACAAAACTCTCCGATGTGAGGATGACAGGGGGAACGTGACGATGCC